CAAAAAAATTTATTCACCTGACGGGAACGAAAAGGATGACTTGCTCACATTCACAGAGCATCTCAAAGCCGTCTTCCTAAAGATCCATTTTACGATGGAAGAGGAAGGGAACGACGCATAGGTTGTGGTAGCCTAAAAACCAAAATGTTCAGGAAGGCAATAAACACGACTGAAGTACTGATTTTCAACAGAAACCACCCAATAAGTCGCATTCGCAGTTGCGTAAGGACACCATACATGCGTGCTGAGACGCATTGCAGTGTGACACGATATAAGGTTACTTAATTAAAACATCGTCGACGAGTAATGAGAGCCGACGGCTACCCGCGCAACATTTTTAACCAGTATGTACAAAACAAAACTACACACCGCGTCCAACCGACCCCAAATTTTGACTGGCTCCTCCGTACGTGAAGAACCTCTCGGAAGCTGTCTGTCATCTTCTCACTCCGTTTGAATTTGCGGTTCCATTGAGGCCGGAAGCAACCATCAGGCGAAACGTGATGACGCCGAAAGACCCACTGGCATGGCAGGAAACGTGAGGGCTTCATTGTTAGATCCCTGCAGTTGCGGACAAAACAGATAGGTCGGAGAAATTGGCAGATGACTCCGAACGCAAATGGCCGAACACGCAGCAGCGATGAGGAGGAAAAACGCTAGTTATTTGGTGGCAGCTAATCTCACGGGAGCCAGCCGTATTTTCAAGTTTCAAGAGTCCGAAATCCTTTCAAGAGTTGACAACAGCGTGGGCGCGAGCTTCTGGAATAATGGGTCTCAGACTGCAATCTATCAACAAATGAGACGCTTTTCCGGTGCTAAGGTATTTCTTGCACAAGGAAATCTGTCAAGTGGAGATGGCGTTGGCGAATGGCAATCTTTATGACAACGGGTTAATTTGCCGAGTAATCAACATCCAAAATGATAATGAAACCGTGGCAGTCAACGACTCGGACGTCGACTGACGAGTCACCATGGAAACAATTACGAACTCCATTCGTAATCGTAAGTGCCGGTAATTATAGGACGCATACCGCCTTACAGCAAATACGTGCTATAAACGATGCAGTCTATTTCCCTTTCTATGCCTTACTGTGATTGTCTATGCTGAGGGGTTGGATTCGGAATCTGAAAAGTCAGGCCAATAAACTTATTTTTCCGGCGATCTCCCCATTATCCCCGTCATCATCGTGTTAAACACTGGAGATCGTTTTGGCTGCCAAGGGGGAAGAGGAGATCACATTTCGCTTTTGCACAAACTGCCCGAGTCCTCCAATATTGTTAGAAACTTCATGACTGCCAGATGGAGAAATCCTTCTCAAAGGAAGCCGCAGTCTACCGTTCCTTGACGAGGTGAGAACACTTAGAATGCTGCTGTTGATGTTAATGTCGGGGCTCTCATCATGAAGATTACAGTATATTTACCATCGCATGAAAAGCCTACTGAACGGCTATGACATATGAATGACTAAACAGATTAGGGAAATTATATGGGTAGCGTTTTGGCCGACCCGAATTTTAAATCGACCGTCTAATTAACTTGTATTTGGCGGGCCTATTTTTCCCAATTCGAAAAGTCTACTTAAGTAGGGTCGTAAAGTTACGTATCAGGCAACTTAATATAACAGTATTTCGGTCACACCAGGATGTCGAGATCTGAGCAATTTTGCTTTAAATGGTCTGCAAATCTATGGTCTGTAAACATTTTACTCGTATAGTGAGCATTTCTCCCTTAGATTTCCGATGCCCTTTTAAATTAGAATATGTGATACAATTTACAAGACCACATTCATTTGCATGCTAGATGGTAGTTGGTAGTCCTCCTGGTACCTAAAACCCCAGCAACCTGTGTTATGGGACCGCTGGTAATTGGGGCTATACGGGTGGGGCAAATGAGTGGAGGCGTAAATGGCGCTTGAAGTGTATCGCAGTAAATGGCGTTCCTGGGAAAGTTGAAGCCAAATTTAAATAAGGTGAACATTGCAAAGTGGGTATACAAATGAGCATGGATAATTAGTACGGTATGCGGAATAAATGCATCCTTGCCTCAGCTTGGAAAGAATCGTAAATGAAGTTTAACGACCAATAGGAAGAAGGCTGTCAGTCCGCAGTATGTGTGAGAGTACCCTAACCAACAGAATGGACATGAAATCACGCGAGCCAAGCAGCGCCATGCAGGACGGCATAACGCAAGTGGGGTAAGACCTTAATGCGTAAAATATGTTTGCGCGGAAACGAAAATCCGCCAGTACTTGATTTTGGTCAGTTTTGCAACATTTGGGAATAAAACCATGGCAGTAGCTGTGTGTTATACGTGAATGGCGTGTTATACAATGTTAAGAGTAATTAGCGCTCGGTATAGGAAGTTCCACTTTGTTCTGCTTGCAGAGCCTAGCCTCCGAGAAGGCAAAGGAAACCAGGACCGCAACTGGATACGCCCACAGATTATTCGCGGATCCTGGAAATACTCCAGTCGCCCTACCTGGTGCAGTATTTCCAACAGAAAGGACTACTGACCTGCAGGGTCCTATGCAGATGTAGGAAGGTCATGCCTCTACAAATACTGCGCCAGCACACGGTTGGTTATGTATTTAGGTAAGATCTGTGTACTGTGCTATACAGACCTAAGATGCGCCGCTTGTGGTGATAAGAAAGCACTGAGAGTGGGCTCAGTGTTTGAGGGGAGGCACCTGTCACTACCCAAGGCGGTGAAAACCTGCCTTGCTTTCACTGAAGGCACTGGTGTGATCAGATGTGCAACCGCTATTTACATACGTAACAAGACCGCAGTGAAGTGGTATGGAGTGTGGCGGGACGTATCTACAAAGGCCCTCCTGCAGGAGGCCATTCTACTTGGAGGACCCGACATCGAAGTCCAAGTCGACGAAACGATGATTTCTCGGCGTAAATATAATGTTGGGCGACTCTAAATCCAGAATCGGATTATAGGTAAGTGAGCAGCGAATCATTACTTCATAGTAGGCATGTACGATTCATCCAAGAAGAAAGCGCTTTTCGAGCAGGTCAGTGATCGAATCTGGCCGTCGTTAAGGGATGTCATAAAGAAGTGGATTGCGCCGGGGAGTTTCATAGTTACTTATCAATGAAAGGGTTACATGCGTCTGGTGGAATAAGGATATCGGCATCTAACGGTCAATCATTCCGTTAATTTTGTGGATCCAATTAGTAAGAAGCACACGAAAGCAATCGAAGCCTACTGGAGTAGGCAGAAGAGAAAACTGCGTGAACAAGGTCCCATCCGAGGAAGGAACATCTGGGCCCATGTAGGCGAAGGCCAGTACCGCCTGTGGTATGGCGAGAAGACAGACAATGTTCCTGAGGCATGGAAAATGTTCCTGAAACATATAGCGGAGGCCTACCCGGTTGGCGACCGAACTTCTTCAGTGGAAAATGAAGCGCAGCTGACGCAGAGGTAAGCATCGGCACTGTTGACATAACTCATCATGTTAGGAAAATACAGGCGCATTGATTGCGCCCCGGCCCAGTGCGTAAAAGACGGACAGACCCAAAGGAAACGCATAGGCGAGTGAAGTCAAGGTAAGCCAACTGATATCTCGACTCTTTTGTTTTATGGAAACAGTGAAATCATGTCTATTTTAATTGCTGCCATCCCTTCCTATGCCTGTTTAACTGACATGGGTACGAGGACGAGTGTAAATGGGATGAGAACGTATTTGCTAAGTTGGTGGACCTCCTACACGGCTGGAACCTGACCGAAACATTCCGTCCAAAAGGGGGGGGGGCTGAAAGAAAGGGTGGACGCGATAGAAAAAACCGCAAGCGACCCCCGGCAAATGATTGCTAACGAACTAAACTCCAACCGGCGCTGATCGCGCGGACGGAAGATAAACACTCCCGGTCTGACTGGCGTAAGAGACGCCTTGCTGCTGTAGTCTGAACCCAAAAGGTAGTAAGTACGCGATGTGGTAGGCGAAGCACGCCCAGTCAAAACCCAACTCTGTTAAAACAGGGGGGAGAGTTTATAGTGCCTTAAACTGGGAGTGCTGGAAGAGATTGCTAAGTGGCCATGGCGGTGTTTACATGGCGTCCTGTTTTCAGCTAAACCCCTGAGACGAAGTACAACCTGACTGTTCGTAAAGGCAAGGGAGTGCGGTGGAGGGTAAACCTTGTCAATTCGACTGATGCAGTGTGTGGAGTATCGGCAGACAAACTGTCTCCGCGCCGGTTGCCCTTTCGTGCACGATCTCGCCGTACTACACTGGAGGTCAGGAATAAAAAGGACGCAAGGACAAAGCCAAACCGACGAAAGGGAGACCCGCGTTGATCGGCCTATGATAGGACCTGTGCAATAAATCTGATGCAGGTAATACTGTGCGCGCATGCAATTTGAGGCATAATGAGAAGCAGTGTGAATCATAATTCCCCTAGGATAAATATGTTCCCTTTTTACTAAGGACTTCCGTGTAGGCGTGCAACACAATGAGTATGACGCCAAAAAGTAGGATAATCTCGCGGAAATGTAGGATGAGGCAACCGAAAGCTATCTCTTCTAATAAAAGTCCATATGGGGCAATCCTCATTGCCGTCGGCACTGGTGTCAAACCGCCCAGGATAGGACCTCTACAGTGAATCTGATACAGGTAATACAATGCGCGCGTGAATTTAGAAACATAATGAGAACGTAATCACACCTACTGAAATCGAGCCAGAAGGCATCATTGTGGATTCTGTGGGCACGGCTACCAACTACCATCTTAACTTATTGCATCCACCTTTTTAGCAAACCACAATTCACAGAAAATAGAAGCTAAGAGACGAGTCCCAGGAAGCAGTATTGAAGAAGAAGACATGATCGCCGGGAGAAGAGCTTTATTAGCCTGACATTTCGGATTCCTGCTCTTATCCATCATCAGAGACATAAGCAGATAAGGGTGGCTCATGCACATGCGGCTGCAGTATTTATAGTATGCAGAAGCCATGCTACCGCATACCTACGAATATTCACGGCTCCCTCCCCTTCATCAGGGTCCGTTGCCCGTGGCGTGATGGCCGATATTCGCGTCGTTAATTGCTGCAATTTCATCACGTGCGTTGGATGTTGATGTGATGATTGCTCGACCATCTGACGCCTTGACCCGGGTGTTGGGACGAGTGTTCACCAGTGCGTTCCCCGCGTGGTCAATTACTCCGCCTAGACGAAGTCTCAGCACGCAGTATTGAATGGGAAGATCACTGCACTTGCTAATAAACTGGGGGCCAGCAAACCATGAGTCAAGCAGCTCCCGGCTCACGCGGTTGTCACCTCTTGCGACAATTTCGGCCTCATCAATTTTCAATGTGTGCCCGGAACCCGTCGAATGAGCCGCAACTTGAGAGCTAGCGTTATTTCTCCGCACTTTTGCAGCGTGTTCGGTCATTCGCGTTTGGAGCTGTCTTCCGGTTTCTCCGACGTAGTTGCTTTGCCCGCAACTGCACCAGATCCGATAAACCACTGCAGACGTTTCTTGCGGTGGCAGTGGGTCTTTTGGTTTCATCAACGGACGCCTGATGGTTGCCTCCGGCCTGTGTGCAACTCCGACCCCAAGTGGTGCGAGAAGGCGGCCGACAACTTCCGAAACCTTCTTGACATATGTAAGCGCACCCCAAACTTTGGTGTCCGTGCGGTTAGGCCTTTGGTCTATTTTGTGTATGCACCGGTTGACAAAGTTGCGCGGGTAGCCATTGGCTTTAAAGATTCGTCGGAGGTATTGTAGTTCGGCAATCTTGTCTTCCGACTCACTGCAGTGCGTTTCGACACGCCGATAGAGCGTCCTTACACAACTGTGTTTGTGTCTGATGGGGTGGTTGCTGTTGAAGTCCAGTACTTGCATCGTATTTGTAGCTTTCCTGAACACTTTGGTCTTTAGTCCACCACAATCTTTGCGGCATACGAGGACATCCAGGAAGGCCAGCTGGTTGTTCTCTTCCTCCTCCATCGTAAATTTTATGTCCGGGAAGACCGCATTCGGACGTTCCTTAAATGTCAGCAGTGGATCCCGATCGATAACGACGAAGGTATCGTCCACATTTCGGTCCCAGAACTTCGGTTTGTGGTGTTGAAAGACCAGCGACTCTAACGGTTGCAGGACTGCCTCGGCGATGAACCCCGAAATCAGAGAACACATTGCAACGGGTCGAATGGTCGAGCAATCATCATATCAACATCCATCGCACGTAATGAAATTCCAGCAATTAACGACGCGAATATCGGCCATCACGCCACGGGCAACGAACCCTGATGAAGGGGAGGGAGCCGTGAATATTCATAGGTATGCGGTAGCATGGCTTCTGCATAATATAAATACTGCAGCCGCATGTGCATGAGCCACCCTTATCTGCTTATGTCTCTGATGATGGATAAGAGCAGGAATCCGAAATGTCAGGCTAATAAAGCTCTTGTCCCGGCGATCGTGTATTCTTCTTCAAAACCACGCTTCCAAATGTTCTGCTTTAAGCGAGATCATATTCTTTTTTAAAAAAGCCTCACATTATGGAACTTTTAAAACGGTGAAATATGCAATCTTAGGACATCACATTACCACTTTTATGCATGCCTCTTATAAAGTATATAACCAGGTCCATATCCACCACACAGTTTTACGAGTCTTCCTAACGACATAAAGCAACGTATGTTGTTTCATTATAGAACGTGGGGGATTCCTAATTTGTAAACCCTGAATGCACATGTAACGGCAGATAGCGTGAAAAATACTATGGTTTTAACGAAGAAAACATTCCCTCTTCAAATGAAAATTTCGGCGAAGACGTAGGTTGCAATAAAATGAGTATAACAGAGGATATTTCCGTACATGTTTTCCGTAAGGTTTTTTCGATCCCTAAGGACATCGAAAATTGATCGCAACAACCAGTACTACATAACTAGCCATTTAAGAGTGTATATGTTTAACAGAAGTCCAGAAACAAGCACATTCACAAATCGGCATCCTGGTGGTACAGGATTTGCGGCCATGGCCCGTACCTGGACAGTACCCTATCCCGCAACACCAAGATCGATGATGAAGTCGACATAGGAACGGTAAAGCCAGTCAAGCCTTCGGCCTCTTCCAAAGCACAGTTTGGAATCGTCACGGTCTCCAACTGAGCACGAATCTGAAGATTTAAAAGGCCATCATCCTGCCGACGATTTTGTATGGAGCGGAGACTTGGACAGTGTACACAAAGCAGGCACGCCGACTGAAACACTTCCACCTCATTCGACTTCGTCGTATACTGAGTCTGAGCTGGCAGGATCGTATCCCTAACACAGATGTTTTGGAGCGAACGGGAATCTTCAGCATCTACGCCATGTCGACACAGCTGCGAGAGCGTTGGAACGGCCACCTCATGTGGATGGATGACGAGTGGCTACCCAAACAACTCTTCTACGGGGATATGGCTGCGGGTTCGCGCCGATAAGGAGGTCGAGTCCGTCGCTACAATGACACTCTGAAGACCTTCCTGAGCCGTCTGCAGATCAGTATGTCCAAATTGGAAGGCTTCTCGTGAGACCGACCGTCCAGGAGAATGACAGTGAAGACAGGTGCCGCGATCTACGAAGCAAACCGCATAGCCACAGCCAAACCAAAACGCGAAGCACGCAAATCCCAACTCCGCCCAACTTGCAACACCAACGCTCAGCATACCCCTATCTGCTTGCGCTACGACGGGACGTTACGGACAACAATCGGCTTTTTTGGTACATTTGCGTATTAACCACACCGCCCGGACTAAACCAGGTGCAGTCTCCACGTTCAGCTCTTCCTCACCCTCGAGGCCGAGAAGTAGAATTGCCTGCGCTCCTGACCCCCCACTGTCATCTCCCTCCTCCTTCTCCATTGCTTTACCGTCCACTACGGCGGCTCCTTTACCATGACACACCAATAAACATCAACCTTCTAACAGCAACCCCAGTGAGGTGAAATTGATCCGTTCCTGTCCTCATTTCAACCACCTATTCGTCTCACACATCGGCTTGGTCGGTAACTTGCAACTCCATCGCACAGAGACTGACGAACCAGTGCCTGCAGCACCGACCTACACTCGCCACATTCGCCTCCACTGTCTGCACTGCCCCCGCACATTCGTTTACTGAATGGGTCTATTCGGTCGCATGCCTGTTCACGAGAGCGTAATTGACCGCAGTCTTCACACATATAGCAGGTATGCACATCCATCATGCGTACTTCAACGCACATCCCCCCCGCCCAGCACGTCCACCAACAGCAGGTCCACCATTGCCATCATCTCCGAAACCGACACTGACACCACCAACTTTCCCTGCCCACCCTGATCCCGTAGATTTGCCTCACGCATCGGTCTGGTCGATAATTCACAAATCCATCCCGCAGAACCCGACGAACCAGTGTCCGGAGCAACAACATAAACCAGACGCTCATTAACGCATTGCATGTTTCTATTAGGCAACATTCGCATTCAAGAAAGCCTGTTGTAGACAGCCGCCGGCTGCGAAGCACTATCACTTCTTCCACCACCTACATCACACAACACCATCGTCCATCACAAATATCTAGTCAGCGCTTGCAAGTAAAGTGAGTAGTGTGTGTCTCGGATCCGTCCCCATGCGGCTCACCAGCTGCATGTGGGATTTGATTCCTAGGCTCTCACGGCGCGTCAAGTACTGTGGCTTGGAGGGCTGCTGACGTACGCCCTAAATCATTCGATGCCTAGTTGTGTATGAATGTTTTGTTTGGAGTGGCGGACTGGTGCGCCGAGAGGCGGGCTGAAACGGCTCATTCCCAACGTGACCTACGTCACTCTCACGCATGTGAGCTGCGCGCCCCTTAACCCCCTTTGTGTAAAATACTGATGCTTGTGCTTCGGAGGCTAGGTCGTGCATGTGGCGCGCGCAGACTGGACCATTAGATATGTCAGCCACCGCGCATATTCCCCACACCTGTCAAGTGGCCGGCTCGGAAAGCAAATGGGGTTTGGGAATAGGAAGGTAGAGTCAGGTGAAAGAAGACAAAGATGCGATCACTGGAACAAGAAATTTATTGGCCTGACGTTTCGGATTCTCACTCGAATCCATCATCAGAGACATTTGCAGCGGTAGAAGACTCAGCGCATTTGTCTCACTGTAAATAATCTGACGCGCTTAAGGCTATCACGGTAGCCTAAAAGCCGTGGATTGGAAGGTTGTCAACTGACGGAATAACTTAGACGTCGCAGTCGGCCGAGTATTGTGTGTTTGTGTAGAGTGGCCGGTGGCTGGTCTAAGCTTCAGACTGCAATGGCTCCCTCTTAATATGGCCTTTATGACACTCCGACTCCGCGGGATTCGAGTCATGTGTGACGACATGCGCACATGCGGCTTCGGTTGTACCGGCCACTCTTTTGTTGTTGGCAAGAAACCTGGTCATTTGCTGTATGGACGAGGGGATTTGGAGTCGAAAGACAAGGTGCGGGCTCGACCGGGCCATCCACTTGCACCCTCACCACCTCCGTTCTTTCTGACTGAGTCTTAACACCGAGCCCTGGTGGTGGTTGAGGACGAAGGAGTGCGTTAGTTGCAATGCAAGTGCACATTCGTTATAAATCAATCCACGCCCAAGTCACCGTGTCTGATTCACCTTTCTGTGGGGCACACCGTAGACCTCGTCGGTAACGACGGTCGAGCTATAGTGTGCTTGTTTAAGCATGCGTACGACGCTGTTGCCCTTAAAACGGCGCATGCGATAGATGCGCTGGCCTTCTTCCCATGGCTTTCGAATTCACGCCATAATCTACATACATCCTATTCTGAGGCTAAAGGGGAGCGGACATACTTCCTCCACTATTTAACTCATCTTAGCGTGCGCTGGAAGGAGCCGCCTACTCATTCCCGACGTCAGTAATTAGACGCGGCTGCACTCCTGCTAAGAAAGACCTACGCGTTTGCCTGAGATTCTCCAAGCGAGTGCCTCGGAAAGGCATAGGTATGTCTGCAAACTCAGGTTTACTTAAAGGTAGACTGAAAAAATGGCATTCTACCCAAAGCTCTACCTTCCGTTTAAATTAAAGACAGCGACAATGCTACTTAAATCTCTACCTCTAGGTGGTAGTCCGGGCGGACACAACATCAGCCACTTCTGTTAAACCAAACAACTCAGTGTAGCCCGCATGCTGCATTTTCCTGAATCAGTATAGAATGCGGCGGGCACGTTTTCCACGGAAAACAAAATAACGATCATAATAGCTTTTGAGCCCATGTTTGTTTTATGCGTTGGCCATCAAACCCCTCCTCGGTCGATAAACACTTTGATTCGCAATTTAAGAATCGTTTGTAGTGATACTAACAACTGACTGGAAGACCCCCATGTAGTATTGAATGGCTCTAATGCGAGGTATTGCTGAAAGTCGATAGATTCGTGCCTTCTTACTGGAATCAATGACTGTCACATGGTTCTTTTCACATTCGTCAAACGTCTGCTCTAATAAGTTGATTATGACTGTTCAGTAGTAGTCTATTCGCCATTCCATTAAACATTCGGACTACTGTAAAACCATCTTCTGAATATGTCTGTAAATGGCGCAATGTATTCTTATCGTTGTGAATTATATAATCAAATTACAAATAATATACTGGACAAAATGCGCCCACATTCATACCGAATCCGAAGTCAGCATCATTAAATGCAGGGATTCCGACTGGCAAAACTTAAAACTGCAAATGTTTCACAAATATCAGAGGACACTAATTCCACACTTCATTTGTGTTGTGGAATCAATAAAAAGCACAACTTCAAAATTGTATTTTGTCTATTAAGAAAAGTCTTTCGTACAGACGGAAATAAATATCATACTCAAGTGAACGATACTCTGGTGGGCGTTCTCTATAGCCATTGTTAGCCGAACAAGTAGTCCAGGGGTGCAAACGAAACCAACTCCTTTCTAACCTCCCCCGGCCAGGAGATATGCATGGATGGACGCGGCTCAACACAGACATTCAACTTCGTCATAACCATTCCTAACCAGGCATCGTCAACTGGAAATTGTAGAGTGAAGTACATGGCCAGGGCAATTTCCTTAAGAATGTCGGCGCCGATAACAAGGAAGGCACCGGAGGCGTAAGGCGCGAAGTAGGGCCAGGGCATTTGGCGTTTAGTGAGGATCCATTTTTCGAAAC